GAAAGAAAGAAAGAAAGAAAGAAAGAAAGAAAGAAAGAAAGAAAGAACAAAATAAAGAAAAAAGAAAGGAGAAGGAAGAAAGGAAGGAAGGAAGGAAGGAAGGAAGGAAAGAGAAAAAAGACTGAGCCTTTGTAGGGACAAAGGACAGGGTTCAACACAAACACACCCCAGCTGGAACTGCAACCAACAACAGACACACTATGCAGAAGAAGTTGATACAAGGGAAGCTGGCACCCCTTTTTTGGGGGGGGGTTGAGGGATTCCTGGGCTGGGGGACCCTCTGCACCCTACCTGCTTCCGTGCAGGAGCTCGGGCCCTCCTCTTGGCTCCATTGAGGGCCCTTCTGGGTCTCTGTGTGGCCCCAGGAGCCCCCCCCAAAAGGGGTGCTACTTACCCGAAGCCCCTTCTCTCCGTTCAACCCAGGAAAGCCAAGGAAACCCTGTGATCCCTGGGGAGGAAAAGAGGACGGCGGGGTCAGAAAGGAGGGGGGCACCATTGGGGGACCAGCCCCCTCCTCCAACTCACTCAGCTGCTTTGACCCCCAATGGGGAGCCCCAGATTTTTCCCTCCTGCCCCCCTGGACTCTCCTCCCACCCACGGGCCCAGAGCCCCGCTCGCTCCACTCCGACTCACCTTCAGGCCTTGTCGGCCGGGATATCCGGGGAGTCCCGGCACCCCAAGTTTGCCCTGCCAGAAGGGGAAGAAAAGGTCAGCAGAGGTGGGGGAGGTCCAATTCCAAAGCCCCCCCCCCCCCTGTCCCATTACCCACCTTCTCGCCCGTGAGTCCAGAAGGGCCAAGGTCACCAGGGGGGCCCGTCCGCCCCTTCGGGCCTTCGGCTCCGTCTTCCCCACGGGATCCCGGGACCCCCAATTCTCCCTGTGCAGAGAAGGCAGGGGGTTGTCCAACGGGCCCGGCCAGCCAGCCCACATCCACCCCCCTCCCCAAACCCTCCACCGGTGGTAAGACTTACCCTGTCGCCTTTCGGCCCCACATCCCCCTTGATGCCTGGGAAGCCTTCTTCGCCCTATAAGGAGAAACGAAGGGAGGGCAGCGTTCAGTAAGGGGGGAGGGAAAGGAAAAGGTGAGACCAGGGCTGGGATTCTACCAGTTTGCACCTATTCGCTAGAACCAGTTGTTAACCTTCTAAGCAGTTCGGAGAACCGGTTGTTAGAAGAAATTACTGGGCTAATCCTGTAAGGAAGGCAGGAAGGAAACATTCTGGTGTCGCTTACAGAAACTGCCTCTCCGTTAACCCTGATTACATTCTTGGCAGGACTAGATTTCCTGTCTCAGGAACCTCTCTGGAGTTTTTTTCCCCTCCTTTGCTGGTACTTTGCTTGTGTGGAATGACCATTCAAAGTTACAACAGCACTGAAAAAAGTGACTTATGACCGTTTTTCACACTTACAACCGTTGCGGCATCCCCACAGTCATGAGAGGCCAGGCGAGGAGATGCGTGCCTCAATGTGAGTGATGTTGAGTTGGCCACGCCCAGCCAGTCACATGACCCCCCAAGCCACGCCCACCAACTTAGCCACGCCCACAGAACCGGTTGTTAAAAAAAATTGAATCCCACCCCCTGGACTCATCCTATATTATTATTTGCATTTCCCGAGTGAAAGGTCTCAATTCAATCTCATCCATAGGTGATATTCAGCAGGTTCTGACCAGTTCTGGAGAACCGGTAGCAGAAATTTTGAGTAGTTTGGAGAACCGGCAAATACCACCTCTGACTGGCCCCGCCCCCATCTATTCTCCACCTCCCGAGTCCCAGGTGATTGGCTGGGTCTTCTTTGGTTGTCATGCACAGGAGAAAGGAGCTGGAAAGCAGGTTATGTGTGGGGAGGGAATGGCCACCAAGCCACACCTACCAAGCCACACCACGCCCACCAAGCCACGCCCAGAGAACCAGTAGTAAATTTTTTTGAATCCCACCATTGGGTGGGATCCCAAAACACCCACACTGGGACCCCCGAACCCCAACCTGCCACCGCAGGAGACTGAATCACATAGCAAAAGGAAATGCTTAGGGAGGGGGCTTCAAATCAACCCCCCCCAATTACACTCAGACACTCTGATGGGGGGTTGGTGGAGGGGAAGGGCTCAGAGTTGGGGTGCCCCAGCTGTTCTCCAGGGGGCCCCATCAAGGTGATTCACAGGAGGGTCACTTCAGAGCAAGAGGTGGGAATGGCGTACCCCCCACATGAAAGTACTCGGACCCCCAAAGATCTACTTTCCCTGAGGATGAGGGGGTACCCTAAGAAGGGGGCGGGTATGCAAAAGAAGGGAGGCCCACTGGAACCCCAAAATGTCTCCCAACCCTTCGGGGCATCAGGTCCATCAGCCACAACTGCAGGAAAGCAGAGTCTGGGGCAAGGCGGGGGGGGCTGGATGACCTCAAGCAACCCTGGCTGCGTGGTGGGGGGGGTTGCGGTTAGTCCCTTATCAAATCTGAAGTGAACCTGGCTGGGGCCATTTTGGAGGCTTCAGGGTTGCCCCGGTGGGAAGAAGGGGCAGGGAAGGGACAGCATAGTTAGATTGGGGGGGAGTTTGTAGTCAAAGCAAAATAATTTCCTGTGGGAACCAAGGTCATTCCAACAAGTGGCTGGAGAGAGGTGGGTTGTGGGGGGGGGGGCAGAGCCTTAAGCAAAAGGGAAGCTCTCACCTTCTCGCCCTTTTGCCCTTTCAAGCCACGGACGCCGTCGGTACCCTGGAAAAGGAACGTGGAATCATCGACACGGGTCGGACTACAAGCCCCATGCTTCTGAGCAGTGACCTCAGGACAAGGGAAGAAGTTCTCCCCGAGTACCCGAACAATATGCCACACTGGGTGTGCAGAGAGGGGCCTGTTTTCTGGGTTGGGGGAGGAAGATGGGCTCCGGAGCCTTCTTTACTTCCTTGGGCTCCCCTTTCTCTCCCCGGAGCTCTCCCCCCCCCAAGTTCTCAGGAGCTCAGCCCCTCCTCAAGGGGGGGGGAGACCCAGCATGACCCCTCCTTCCCAACCTGCTCCTCTCCTGAGTCCCCCCACCAGCTCCTGGGGAGGCGGAGGGGGTCACAGCACACACTCACCTTTCCTCCGCGAGGACCCGGATAGCCCACCAGGCCTTGGGGGCCAGAGGGGCCCTGCAAGGGAGGAAGAGAGAGGCAGGATCAGGCCCCATAACAAGGCTCCTCCCCATCTCACTCTCCCCCCCATCAAAAAAAAATTACGCCTCCCCTTCCTCTTTCCTTGCAATCCCTCCCCCGTCCCCCAAAGAAACCTGCCCTGTCCTTCCTGGACTTAGTGCATGTGGGACTCTGGGGTTGTAGCAGGTCTGCCCCCTGCTGGAGAATTGAGGAAGCAAATGGCTGCTCCTCCCCCCCCGGTGGCTGAAAGGGGGAACTGCACCTCCCAAAGGGCCCCATGGAAAAAGCCCAACCAAAGAAGAGTCTGGGGCTCCTAATCCAGTGGTGGTATGCTAACGGTTTGGACCGGTTTGACCGAACCGGTAGCAAAAAAACAAAAACAAAACACCTTATTGGTACGGCAGAACCGGTTCCTCCGACGATCCGCCGAGAGGATAAAAGAAGCAAGAAGCGCATGTGGGTGGGTGGGACGGTTGCTCCTGGCTTTTCGTTTCTTCATCCTCTCAGCGGATTGCCATGTTAGGGGGTGCACGCAGGGGCATGTTAGGGGCTTGAACATGCGCGCACAATCACCCGCCAAACCGGTAGCGACCAAGACAGGAACTCACTAGTGCGCTAATCGTCTCCGCCCCCACCTAGCAGGGCTTTCTCAGCTGCCCCCCCCCCCCCCCGCAGTTATATGGTGCATGGCACCCAGGGCCACCTGTTGAGACGGGCAGCTATGGAAATCAATCAATCAATCAATCAAAAAGGAACAAATGCTCAAAAGAACAAGGGTCCTCTTACAGCCTTTCAATGCTCCCAGGCAGGGAGACCCTCCCCCCCCCCCCCCCCCCCCCCCCCCCCCCCCAAAGCCCTCCCCCCCCGAGGGTAGCTTGGAGAGGCTCAGCGGAGGCATCCACAGAGGCCGTGCCCGTCCACTCACCGGGTTTCCTTTGGTGCCAGGAAATCCCTCTTTGCCCGGGTGGCCCTGCAGGGAGAGGAGGGTGTCAGAGGGCCCCCCAAAATCTCAGGAAAGCCCTGACTTGGGGGGGTCAGAGGCCACCGTGGGGTTTCAGACAACTGGCTCCTTGGGGGGGTCTGCCAAGGCATTCCGGGCAGGGCTGATCTTCCCCACGGTGGCCCTTCACCCCCGTTACTTCTTCCCCGCCACCTTCCGGGGCACAGACTCGGGAGGGTGGGAGGTTGCTCCCCTCCCCAGAAAGTCCAAAGGTGGGGCGATGGGGGGGGCACTCACCGGGGGTCCATCGGAGCCGGGCATCCCAGGAAGGCCGGGTTTCCCTTGGGGTCCCTGCAAAAGAGGGGGGAGACCCTGTTGGACCCAGTAAGGGCGGGAAGCCCCTCCCCGGGCTCTGGGAATAGAGAGGCCCTCCCCCCCACCTGCCCAGCCATCCCCTCTCACCTTTCCCCCAGGGGGCCCCATGGCTCCTTGCGGTCCTGGCAGACCCTGGAAGCAGAGAAGGGAAAAAAAGGGAGTGTGAGGGGCTTCCTGGTGCAAAGGGTGAGGACTGGGGGGGGAGCCAAGTTCCAGTCCTCCCGCCTTGTGGAAACAGGGCCCTTCCTTCCCGCCCCCACCCCTACACCCAGAGGGATGGCGTCGCCGTCTCTGGGGAGCCCGACTAACAGAGAGGAACCGGAACCAAACCGGGAATCGGGGTTTGCACCAACGGCAGAAAAGCTGTTGCCCCCCCCCCGCAACCTGCCTACCTCACAGGGCTGTTGTTCGGGAGGCAGACTGGAAGGGGAACCTAGCAAACCAACCCCCCCTCCCCCAGACAGCCCTGGTGGGGAGAGGAGTGGGGCTACCCTCGCCCCTCCCCCACGTCTTCCAGGGAAGTGGGGGAGGGAGGGCAGGTATTTCCAGGGCTAATGAAGGGCCCTGGTGGGGTTTTTTGGGGGGGGGGGCAGGGAACCTGCTTCCCTCCAGAGGCCTTTGATAGATGCCCGGGGGGGCGGGGGGGGGCTCAGGGCCCAGGGAAGGCTGCAGAGCTACCAAGAGCTCTTAATCCTCCGCCGAAACTCCCTCATCAAAAGCAGTCTACCTTAAGGCACCGACAGCTGGGAAGCCATGAAGCCAAGGAGCAGCCCCTGATCCTCACCCAGGCACCCACCCACCCACGCCGGTCGTTCTCCACCCACCTTGGACTTACCTGAGTCCCAGGTGTCCCCTGCTGACCGGGGGGGCCTGGCTCCCCTTGCGGTCCCTGGTTCAGACAAACGGGGGGGGGGGTCAGATCAAGGCAGAGCCCAGGGGGGCTTCTTGGAAGCCCCCCTAGATATTTCCCCAGCAGCCTAAATGAAGTGGGTTCCTTGGTGTGTTTGGGGGGGGCGTTTGGGATGTCCTGGTGGCGTCCCTTCTGGGAACCGATCCCATTTCACCTTCCCAAATCTGAGGTAACTGGAGATCATCCAGCCCAATCCCTTCCCACTACTCCTGCACCCTTTGGCTGGTCTAATCGCTGTCTGCGAACGTGCAAAGAGCCCCCTCTCCTGGGGGTCATTCCTAACCCTAACCCTGACACCCCCCCCTTCCCCATGCCAGTCCTGGACTCCAGCTCCCATCGTCCCTGGCAGCCCCTATGGGACTACAACTGCCCTCACCACCAAACCGCCGCAAAGGACCCAGATGGAGCATTACGGGCCCTGCCCTCTCCGGCTGCAGGTGTGGGAAGGGGCTGCGTCTTCTTTTGGGGGAGGGGCTTTTTGGGACCACCCAGGACCTGCTTCCTCTGAGCTCCAACCCCCTGAGGCTGGTGGGGAAGGCACTCTGTGGATGCTCAGAAGCTCTTCCACATGCCCTGGCCGGCCCTCCTAAACCCCGCGGCCACCGCTCCACTTACCAGACCCCCCTTCGGTCCGTGGGGGCCGTCCACGCCACGCACGCCCTGTCGAGGGAGAGAGAGAGGCCAGGGTCAGGGGTCAGGGGTCAACAGCAGAGCCAGGGGGGCAGTCCCTCCTCCCCAGCACTTACCTGTGGCCCTGGGATGCCCGGGGGCCCTTTGGGGCCAAGCAACCCTCTCGGTCCCTGCGAAGGAAAGGCAGGATGGGTGGGGGGAGGCCTTGGGGGGGGATGACCGTGCCCCCCCCAATCATTGCCTCTGGGGAACCCCAAAGAACCCAGGTGGGGGGGTCTTTAAACACCCCTCTCCAGGCAAACTCCGGAGAGACCACGAACGGCTGCCTCCTCCCCTCCCAGGCCGGGGACGCTACACACCGTTTCTCCTGGGAGTCCGCGGGGGCCAATCTCTCCATCGTCTCCCTGCAGTGGGGCGGAGGAGAGAAGAGCGTCTGCAAGGGGGCAGATCGGCTTCCATTTTTTAATCTCCCCCCTTGTTTCTGTTTATGGAGGCAGGTGGAAACCCCTCCCCCCCTTGAGGACCTCCCCTGGCTCTGCCTGAAAGCTCAAGTTGCTAGTCCTCAAGGTGGGGGTGTTTTCTTTAGAGGGGTGTCTGCACCCCCTCCCGCCCCTCCCTCCGCTCCCCTCACAGGCCTTACCTGCTCGCCGTCTTCACCGGGGGGTCCAGGGACACCTTGCGCTCCGGGGTCCCCCTGCCGAGGACGGAAGCAGCACAGTGACGGGTCCGCCAAGGAGGGAGGGCCTCAGGGTGGGCTTGGCAATGTGCCCCCCAACCCGCCCTCCTCCCTCCAACCCTCCTCCCCACTCATTTATTTTTATTTATTTATTTGATTTGTCAGTCGCTTACAAGATAATAGGTATAAGTATAAACATAGTTATGAATACATGAAATGGGTACATGTAAGAAAAATAAAAGAAACAATAGGACAGGGACGGTAGGCATGTTGGTGCGCTTATGCTGCCCCCTACAGGCCTCTTAGGAAAGGGGTGAGGTCAATAGTAGACAGTCTAAGGTTAAAGTTTTTGGGGTTTGGGGAAGAAACCACAGAGTCAGGGAGAGTATTCCAGACATTGACCACTCTGTTATTGCTGAAGTCGTATTTCCTGCAATTAAGTTTGGTGTGGTTAACCTTGAGTTTGTATCTATTGTGTGCTCTTGTGTTGTTATGGTTGAAGCTGAAGTATTCATTGACAGGTGGGACATTGCAATGTATGATTTTATATACTAAGATCGGACCGAAGGCGGCGTAGTTCTAGGTTTTCTAGGTCTAGAATTTCGAGTCTGGTGGCATAAGGTATTCTACAACGAGTAGAGGAGTGGAGAACTCTTCTTGTGAAATATTTCTGGACTTTCTCAATTGTGCTAATATCAGATACGTAATGAGGGTTCCAGACTGATGAACTGTATTCGAGTATTGGTCTAGCAAATGTTTTGTATGCTCTGGTTAGTAGTGTGATATTACCAGAGGAAAAGCAACGTAGGATTAGGTTAACAACTCTTAATGCCTTTTTGGCTACGTAGTTGCAGTGGGCTCTAGCACTCAGATCATTAGAGGTGAGTATTCCAAGGTCCTTTACAGAGCTTGGGTCATCAACAAGATCTTGACTATTCAGCCTGTATTTTATTTTCTGATTTATTTAATTTTTGCCAATATGTAAGACAGAGCATTTATTTGTTGAGATTTGAAGTTGCCATTTGATTGACTCACCCGGTATCCTTTGTCCCCCGGGAGGCCGGGCAGCCCGTCGAAACCCCGGTCACCCTGCAGGAGGAGAGCGTGAGAAAAGTGGGGGGAAGCCAGCAGGTGTGGCGCTCAGAGGCCCCAGGGACCCCCAGGAAGGGGGACACAAAGAGACCCACCCCAGACGCCCCACTGTGTGGGGCACGGGGGGAGGATCTCCACCATTCTGCATCAGGGCAGGGCCACCGAGAACGGGGAGGGGTCCCCCAAGGGAAGCCCCCCACCCACAGATGGCAGTGAGGAGGGGTGGGAAGGCCAGAGTGCTTGGCTGCAAGGCCAGCACTGTCTTTGTACAGAAGATGGGGACTGGGGGAGCAGGGTTCGAGTCCTACTCCTCCCCCTTGTGGAAGCGGGGCCCTTACCTTGAGGCCGGATTCCCCAGGCATCCCCCGTGCGCCGTCTGCACCAGCCCTGCCCTGGAGACGCACAGAGGGGGTCAGGAGGAAGGGGGGCCCTCCCCTTCCACTACGCGACTCCCCCTCCTCCCTGTTATGTCGTGATTGTTACACAACTTTTGTTCCCCTTCCGCAAAACAACAAAAAGGTGGACTTACGCGACGGCCGGGCTTCCCTGGGGGGCCACTCAGTCCCTGTTGTCCCTGGGGCCCCTGGAGAAAGAAAAGAGAGAGAGTGCAGGATTTAGTGGAGCAAAAAAAGGGGGTGACCTACTGGGGCCCAGGGGTCGCCAACCTTTTGGACCTCAGGGACCCCCAAACGCATAATTTTAAATCCCAGGGACCACTCACCGGTTCTATGGGCGTGGCCTAATTTGTGGGTGTGGCTTGGTGGCCATGTGACTGGCTGGGCATGGTTTGTATGTAAATATTATAAATATGTATATAAATATTGAATTTTTTATTTTAAAAAAGAGCAACTTTTACCCAAAATCAGGCAAAGCAGGCATGCAGATTGAGTTGCTCACAGAATCATTCAGTGATCTATCTATCTGCCATCGGCTAGCTCAGTCTGTCCCATAAAATTTGCTTGCCGGGAGTCTGCACTTAATAATAGAACCTTCAGTCCTAAGGGAGGTTCGGCTGTGCTTAAAAGCAGAGCCGAAGATCTAAAGACTAGCTAGAAAGCAAGAAATCCAACCATTTCCTGCTTCCTAGCTAATCTAAATCTCCCGGCACAGCAGATGGTCCAAAAAATAGCAATTTAGCAGGCAAGTTTGCCGGGTAAGGAGTGAGTGGGCGGGGAGGGTTCCCGCGGGCCATGTGGACGGCGCAGCCTTGTGTTTCTGCGCAGCTTGGATTAATTGCTTTGGGGGGGGGGGTGCTCTGGGGCTGAGATTTCTCTGCGGCCCACCAAAATTTTCTCACGGCCCACCAGTTGGCGACCGCTGATCTAGCCCCCCACCTCCAGGAGCTGAACCAGAATGGGGTGGCCGCATTGACAGCTGCACAGGGGCCCTAATAGAGTGGGGACCAGAACATGATCGGTTGCTCCAGAGACCAAGGGGGCGTGGGGGGATGCGACCCACAAGTCAACCCAACTTACCTGGGGGCCAAAATCTCCAGCCTCCCCCTTCACGCCGGGGCCTCCAGCTTGGCCCTAGGAGAGAGGAAGCATGAGGGGGATGTGGCAGGTGGGCCCCTGGGTAGGGAAGGGCCCAACACAGCAAGCAGCCTTCGCCAGCCAGGGGCCCTCCGGAGGCCAAAGTGCCGAAGGACCCCAAAGGCCCCTGTCCCCATATCCAGCCCCCCATCACACTTACCACGGCTCCTGAGCGGCCGGTGTAGCCCATCGGTCCTGGGGGGCCACGCAAGGCCAGCTGTGGCAAGGAAGGAAAGGGGTCACCCCAAGCAGAGACCCCTCCCCAGAGACCCTGGAGCATCAGGTGTTGGGCTTGAGGGGGGGCTTCTGTCACCCCATCCCCTTCACACAACACCCTTAACTAGGTTCCTTGCACAACCCACCAATCCAGGTTAGTTTGAACCTTGGCTGGTTTCGGGCTTCCCTGTCTGATTCCCCCCAAGAGCCAAGAAAAAAGGGGGTTGTCCAGTTCCCCCAGGTACAACACCTGGCTAGCCAGAGACCCCACGGATCCTCTCGGCTGCTCACCCATCCTCCAGAAAAGGGGAGCCCAGCTGTGTTTACATCGGGTGGGGCATCCAGAGGCTCAAAAGCAGGGCCCCGGATTGTGGGGGTTCCCAAATAACAGACACTTATTTTGCTCTCCCGAATTCTTCTGGTTCCCCTCTCCCCCTCCCAGCCCCTACCCCATAAAGGTAGGAAGGGGGCCGGCTGGACTCACCCGGGCCTGCTGTAGGAACGCCTGGGCCTGGGCCTCCTGGGCCATCGCGACGGGCCCCTTCTGGCCCCCCGTGGGGCTCCCAAAACGGAACTGCGGTCAGGAGGGGAGAGAATCAAGCGAGTCTCGCAGGAGGAGGGACCCCAAAGGGCCAACAGCTGCTTCCTCCCGGATTCAGGGGCAGAACCGGGGCCCCGCCAGACACCCCTAACCCTCCCAGCATGTCCCAGCTCCAGCCACCAGATTTTCCTGACTCACCGGAAGCATCATGGAGGTTCCGGGGGGCCCCGGACGTCCGTCGGATCCCGGGAATCCGGCCCGTCCAGGGGGACCCTGCGAAGGAGGCAGAGAGGCTTCCGGAACATGCAAACACACAACACCCCCTCCCCCCACACCTCCGGGCCCAACTTCGCTCCAAAACCTGGCCGTGACCCATGGGGGAAAGAGTCCTCCTTGAGCAGGAGTGTCAATTCCAGCCTTCCTTCGGCAACACGGTGCCCTCCGTGTTAGCCGGACTACAACTCTCATCATCCCCCTGAAGCCTGGAATTCAGCACAGCTGGAAGTCAGCCAGGGGAGGGGATGTCGGGGAGCAGGCACCTCTTCACCCATACAGAAAAGTCCTCGGGCTCCTTCCAGGTGACCTACTCGGGGGGGTGGGGGAAGCCCCATAGAACCTTATTGAATTACTGGACTGGGAAAAGGCTGCCTTGGTCCATGCACAGAGCGCTGCCTTTCCCTCTGGCTCAGGAACGACTGGCGTTGCAGCAGGGGTGCGATTCAACCAGCGTCACAACCGGTTTGGTGAGCGCATGCTTCGCCCAAACCGATAAAAATCCCAACGCTGCATTGCAGTGATGCCAAGAGACGGAATCGGGGATGCCTGGTGAGCCGCGGCAGTAGAACTCTGCACGTACTCAGGAGCAGCAGAGGCACCTGCCCAGCAGAACATGCACAGCTCCCAGCCCATCCTGCCTCCCTGCCTGCCCCTTTCAAGAGACCCCCCCCCACAGAGAGGCTGCCCCACTCACCCGCTCTCCGGGGTCGCCGGGAGGTCCGGGAGTCCCCTGGGTGCCGGGTGGCCCACTCATGCCCTGCAGAGGAGAAGGCGTCTCTTCAGCCGTTTCTATTCTGACTGGGCTTCCTCAACAGCACAAAGCTGAGTCCTCGTCCCGATAAACCCCTTTTATTGGATTTACAATGAATGTCCTCTCCAGCAAAGTCCCGGCCAACGGTCTTTCACGATAATTCCCAATTACAGACCTTTATCAGGCTTGGAGAGTTGCCAGGCCGACATCTTTCAGACGCCACACTACTTGGCAAGCGTGCCGGAGTGAACTAATTGTCTCCTGCAAAGCCCCACTCACCCTTCGCTCCTCTTTTATACTCTAGGGGAGGGAGCCATTCACCGTCCACCTGTGTTTTTACTCCCGAGTCGGCCCTTGTTCCTTAGCTGTTCCCTTCTTCTGGCAGCTCTGTGCATGCGCACACTGGGAACAGGCTCCGGCTGTTCTTCTTCCCCACTGATCTCCTGATAAATGTCGGATGGCCCTGGCCCCATCTCTGCCTCTGACACAGAGCCCTCTTCAGAGCCTTCCAAAGACTCCAGGACCCATGTTCCCCCCCAATCTCCTCACTGTCTGAGTCTGCTGGCACCTCTGCTGACCACTGTCGGCCCACAACAGTCTCTGCCCCACCTGTGCCAGTCCTCCCAGCACCCAGCGCCTGCCGCTCTTACCCGGGGTCCTTCGGGGCCAGGGCGTCCCGGCACAATCATCCCCTATGGAAGAAAAAGGAGGTCAGGTGGGCAAAAAAAAAGACCCGCCCCCCCTTGTTGTCCAGGAAGGTGGGCACAGGGAGCCAATTGTCAGAGGTTGGCATGGCTCAGCACAAAACAGGCCATTGGGGATGATTTAGAGTGGGCCCTGATCTCACCAGGAAGAGAGGGAGGGAGACCCAGGATGGGGGGGGAACAGGAAGGGATGTTGATCTTGACCTTTGACCCCCCCCCTGCAGTGACCGGGCACAATCGGGCACTAACCTCTCCCCTCCCCCCATGGCTTGGACTTCATTTAGCAATGGTGGTATGCTCCCGGTTTGGACCGGTTGGGTCGAACTGATAGTTAAAAACAGCCGAGAGGATAAAAGACCGAAAAGCGCATGGGTGGGCGGGAGGGTTTCTTAATCCTCTCAGCTGATTGGCTTGTTAGGGGTGCATGTATTAGGGGTGTGTGCATGCATACATGTGCACACATAATCACCCAACGTACTGGTAGCGACTAAGATAGGTTCCCACTACCGTCATTTAGTGCTGTCTTCCTCAACGTTGAGTGCTGGAAGATGGGTGGACTTCAACTCCCAGAATTCCCCAGTCATCTGGCTGGGGAATTCTGGGAGTTGAAGTCCACCCATCTTCCAGCACCCAACATTGAGAAATATCAATTGTCAGGATTCCGGCAGTTACTCCAATGAGCCTCGAGCCACACTCCCAAAACTAAAAATGATTTATTTGACGTTAACATTCTACGTCCAGCACTAACCTGGGCGCAGCCAACTCTGAGATACGTAATTCACTGTCACCCTTGATCCTGCTTTCCCCCCTTCACCCCTCTGGGATGTATCATCCAATGAAAAAAAACACCCATAGCCAAGAGTCATCAATCATGTTCGCCAATTAGATTTTTACGGGGCAGAAGCTTCAGTCATCTAATCAGTCTTTGAAGAAAATATGAATGGAATGGACTTTCGATTCCGCCTGCTCTTTGAAACTTCCCTCCCTTCTTTCTGTTGTCCACTATCAAAAGTGTATACAAAATGTTTTATGAGTTGACATTGCTTTTTAGTGCATGGAAGCCCATTTTGCTCGGTGTCTCCTGAGCGCAATCCCCCAAAACTCCCACCGGCCCAGCTCTGGACCCCTCTGCACTGGGATCGCCTGATGGCCGCTCATCCCGGCCCCCTAAAGCCCAGGATTTGCAGGATCTCCTTTCTCATCTGCCAAGGCTGGCCAGAGGTGGCCCCAGCTGCCATATGGGGGGCGGGTTGTCCAGACAGCATCCAGACTGCTGGTCACTTTTGTCCCTCTCCCAGGTGTGTGTGGGGGGCTTTTGTGGGGGAGGGAGAGAAACTGGCCTTTCTGGGACACAAACAAACACACCGACAACCACGGAAACTTACAGGTTCAAAGACGGCCGCTTCCCCTTTCTCTCCCTTCAGGCCTCGGGCTCCGAGCACCGCCTGGGGGTTACACACATGTAGCCACAAGAAGGAGATTTGTCAGCATTGCGTTGGCTGTAGTAGCACGCGCACCCAAACAGACAGCACCACACAAACAGACAACATGCACGACGAATGCCAAGGCAATGCCCCTCCTTCTGCCACGTGCGAAGCCATCTCAGTGGCACAGGGAATGGGGTTTCAATCGTCAGAAGCTCAACTCCTGGGCAGGGAGGGTGGAGTAGATGGTCTCCAGAGCCCCTGCTAGCCCTTGCCTTCTAGGGTTCTTTATAAGCGCCAAGATGTATGACCTCTGTCTTATTTAAACTTCCCATTGAGGCTTATTTTAATCCCCCTTGCTTTGGGGAAGCTGCCAAAATGGACTAGAATAGCAGAGTTGGAAGGGACCTTGGAGGTCTTCTAGTCCAACCCCCTGCCTAGGCAGGAAGCCCTACACCACTTCAGACAAAGGGTTATCCAGCATCTTCTTCAAAGCTTCCAGTGTTGGAGCATTCACAACTTCTGGAGTCAAGTTGTTCCACTGATTTAATTGTTCTGACTGCGCCAGGAAATTCCTCCGTAGTCCTAAATTGCGTCTCTCCTTGATCAGTTTCCACCCGTTGCTTCTTGTCCTAAATTGGGGCTTCGGAGAGTAGCTTGACTCCCTCTTCTTTGGGGCAGCCCCTGAAGTCCCTACGTTCGTAGAGATAGTGAAAGGCAGCTGATAAAAGCTACGGATCACTCGAAAGGCCCTTTGAGCCAAGGGACTGAATTTAGTGGACAAGTCAACGTAGGAATGGCAGCCAGTTGGGCGTTCTGATGTAGAAAACCAGGAGGCGGTGAGTTCTAGTTCTGCCTTGGGCACCAAGCCAGCTGGGAGACCTTGGGCCAGTCACTCCCTCATGGCCCTAGGAAGGAGGCAATGGCAAAGCTCTTCTGGGGGGGGAGGAGGGGAAAGCTTGCCCAAAAAAAACCCTGCAGGGGCTATAAAAGAAGGTTATGACATCATGCCAAGTGCCATCCGACATTTCCTAAGCCGAGGTTTGACATCCACTTCAACAAGGGCTCTTTTCTCTGAATATATCCCAGATTTTTCCAGTCAAGGCGGGAGCTCTGAATATTTAAGAATGATTCAGGACTTTTCAAGTACGTTAGAAGTGCCGTCATGGTTGAAGGCGCCAAGGAATCCGGTAAGGACATATTTACCAATGGGTCCCACCTTGTCTACGTTTGAATTTTTTTAAAAAAAAAATCTGCCCAAATACACAGAATTTCTCCGATTTTAAGTGGGAAAAAAATATATGTGGAAGCAAATCTTATTAAGAAAAAAAAAAAGACTCTGAAAAATGTTGTTGAAATTCTCTGGGTTTCAGGGATCAGGAAGGAACGGGGCTGGAATTACTGTGTGCTAATTGGGGGTGCGGTAGTGGGAAATGCCTTTTCCAGTATAGCAGGATTGGGACCAGTGGCATTGTTATACTGGGGAGAAAGGCCTGCCCGCGTTTCCATGGAAATCATCTTCGTGGTTAAAGAGATGGAGGCGTAAGGATGGGCAGGTCACATCCTCATAGGAAATGATGTCATCAGAAGCATGATATGACAGAGGGGGCGGGTCATAATTCGTAGGAAATGACATCATCGAACAAGCAACGTGACAGGATATACCTTCCTAGGAAAGGACATCCTCAATGTCACTTGATATAACTTCACAGGAAGTGACATCATCAAAAGGGAGTGATGTCACTTGATATAACTTCATAGGAAGTGACATCATCAAAAGGGGGTGATGTCACAAGATATAACTTCATAGGAAGTGACATCATCAAA